TTATAAAAATACATTTCGTAATTAATCTAATGATATTTGTTTTATATTATAAATATTTATATTTTTTTATTTATAATTGATCAAACTTGATATACTAAAACATGACGCTGTTCCAGAATTGTATTCTTTTGATGACGAAGGGAGTAATAGATAAACACCAAAAGAAGACCATATAATATTCAAATAATTCCAAACTATGCACCATAATATATAAAACATGATTTCTCTAAGGTAAACAAAATTTCTAAGATTAAATCAGATTTAGGATTTTTAATTACATATTTAGATAACTTAAAAAAACAATATTTTTTTATGAAGTCTAATCGACCTCCCCGAACTATTAACTCTGTACGATTTACCTTCTCTGTGGATGATGTGGCGCCTATACCTACTCTAAAAACCGTCAAAGGAGCAAATTCCAAAAGTTAAATAGTAGAACCCAGTGCCAGGCCTAGCTAGGTGATTTTGGCCCAAAAGAAACCAGGCGTTTCTTTGTTCCAACCCATGCTCATGTCTAGGCTGAAGTAGACCTTCGACAAGAACTCCACAAAAGCTCGCGAAAATTCAACGGAAAGAGCCACCGCAAAGAAAAGCATACTCCACAAAAGATACCAGAAAAGAGACATGATATTGTGAAAGCCATACAAGGGACAGAATGAAAACCCCGCCAAGAAGGCAATGAAGTTACACACCGGCTGCATTGCATGGTCGATGGTCCTAAACTCTAAGAGGTCTTGAGCACTCCTTACTTCCTCAGCATCAAAGGAGTAACATGTACAGAACACTGGATCTACAATGGTATGCACTATCACAGAGAACTACTAGATTTGTTACCCAACATCAACAACATTTAACAAGCAAGGACACTAGCACAGCAGCATGTGGACTGCATATCACTTGCCTTTTCGCTTCTTCTGGAATCCGATGCAATTTGGGCAATACCACTTTCCCTTGGGCTGCTCCTTGACGCCCACACAGCCATAGTGATACCACTCGATTTTGCACTGCCAAATGGATATGAAAGCGATAATAAAATAAACCAAGCATGGGCATGAAAATGGAACTCGTCAAACTGGAATACAGCAGTGAAACAAAGGACGTGTCACATACATTAGGATTGTCGCATGCCACCATCTCACCATAGCTGACTTGGTTGCAGAGGCAGTATGTAGGTTCGTTAGGATCCACAGGCAATTCTAAATCAATAGGTGGCACTGGTTGCTCTGTGGGTACCTTAAACCTGAAACAGGAGTTGGGTTGGTTTGTTAGACTAAGAAAAACACTGCTGGACTGAACTTATCCAGATGCAAAACATACTTCTTCCGACCCCCTCTGCCTCTTTCGCCAGATCGTCCACTCTTCAGAGTAGCATCAGCAGTTGTCACTCCGACATTCACAGTTGGAGTGGCAGTAGTAGCAACAGCAGTCCCTGGAGTAACAGCTGCAGCTGCCTCTTTTTCTGGTAATCACAACGCATGGTATACAGGTAATCAGTAATTTCTTTCCAAAAGAGCAATCAGTAGGCATGAAACTCAAAAGGAGGACAGAAAGTACACTATTCGGAAACAACCAATGTTTTATGCAAAGGGTAGTTCCATACCTTGCCGAATTTCTTCAAGCTTCCTCATAAATTGATCTAGCTGTTGGATATGAGCATCAACCTATAGATCAGCATAATCAAAATCCCGCACATTCACAATTTAGCAACAGCGCAGAGGTGTCATGAGGCATGATTATGCAGCAGAACCTAGCAAACCATAAACTAGTAATGTAAAGTTATTGAAAAATCTAACCAAAACGGTGTGTAGTGTACTGTTACATGGAACCTCGAGAACTATTGCAGGTAAGATGGCATAAATGAAATATAGATAAACAACAAACTTGGCAACCAATCTTTCCATTTGGGTAGAGATAAAAAGAAACCACTAGCACAAACTGATATTTAACAATCCATAAATGATGAAAAAGAGAGAGAATTGAAATGACAATTCATATCGATACTGTACTAGTTTCCATTTCTTCTACAAAGAACTAAACAAGGAGAGAATTAAGTTTATCTGTGTTCTCTCCCATTCCTCCAACAAAACATAGAGCAAGAATTAGATGCTCCTGGTGCAGTGGATTTTACTGCACGTGAATGAGTTATAATTAACAGACACTTACCAGGTCATAAGTCTGAGTGGCTAAAGCCACCTTCTCGTCAGCAATTCGAACACAGTGTTTCTGCTCCTCGATTGCTTCTTCAGAAAATTTCAATTTTGCTGGGTCATATGTAATACTTCCAGATTCAAGTCCATGCTTAATGTCCTCTATTTCTTGCTGACAGCGCTGCTCATTTTCTAGTTGCACACCTAATGAGAAGCACAGAAGGGGGTTATTTTCAGGCTGAAAAGCTGAAAAGCTTAAGTCAAACAAAGATTGGACTTCCTGTTCAGAGAAATAAAATCAGTAGATATTTAAGTAACCACAACATTAATAACTAAAACTGAGTATATGAGATGTGACTTCGGCACTACTACTCGGGAGGAGGAAGATGTTAGTTTGGAAGGTCAAGTAGTGCCTAGGAAGGATACCTTTCGATATTTAGAATCAATGCTACAGAAGGACGGGGACATTGATGAAGATGTTAGCCATAGAATCAAAACAGGGTGGATGAAGTGGCGGCAAGCGTCTGGTGTCCTATGTGACAAAAGGGTACCACAGAAGCTAAAAGGCAAGTTTTATAGGACGGCGATTAGACCTGCTATGTTGTATGGTGCAGAATGTTGGCCTACGAAAAGACGACATGTTCAACAGCTAAGTGTCGCGGAAATGCGTATGTTGCATTGGATTTGCGGTCATACAAGAAGGGATCGAGTTCGGAACGATGATATACGTGATAGATTAGGGGTAGCGCCAATTGAAGAAAAGCTTGTCCAACACCGGTTGAGATGGTTTGGACATGTGCAACGGAGACTCCCAGAGGCACCGGTGCGTAGTGGAATCCTAAGCCAGGATAGTAACGTGAAGAGAGGCAGAGGAAGACCGAAGTTGACTTGGGTAGAGGCAATAAAAGGAGACTTAAAAGGATGGAATATACCCAAAGACTTAGCCTTAGATAGGAGTGCTTGGAAGACAACTATTCACGTGCCTGAACCTTGATTGCTTCTGATGGGTTTCAACTCTAGCCTACCCCAACTTGTTTGGGACTTAAATGCTTTGTTGTTGTTGTTATTGTTGTTGTAACATTAATAACTATCAATTCAGTGCGTTTGTCTGGACAATGCTATGTGTATTAACTTCTTAAGGTATCCCATAGAAAAGTTCATTTGCCACGATTTGTAGGTTGACATATGTTGCGACAGCCCATATAAACACTGACATTCATCAAATTTTGGGAGATGAAACAAAAGAAGCAGTCATTTAACATGATATGTAATTGCTGCAATCCTACCGAATATTTGTGGCTCTAAGTGTTGAAAGGAAATATTGCACATGTAATCAGAAAGAAAGCAGTATAGCAAATGGGAATTTATAACTGAAATCCATTTGCATGCATAATAAGTACAAGACACATCCTCTTAATGCAATGGGACACTCAACCATTATTGTTCTCAGGTTTAGTTTGCCATATATATTTTAAGAGAAGAAGAGATTCAATAGAATAAAATAGGATTCACAAGTCAAAACTGCCATACCTTGCAAACTTTTATCTAACTCTCGCATTAATGAATAGTTCCGATGCAGCATAGATGGCAATGCTTCAACACCTGAGAGTAGTCAAATGAAATAATGTGTGTATATATGATATCAATGAATAAATTTGCACCTATTGGCAATGTTACCGTCTGACAGGATAAGTCAAATCAAGAAAACAAAATACTAAGATTTGCAATAAGGCCATTCTTATGTTCGCTTGCAAAATAATACTACCTACTACCAACGTACCAACCTTTCCGCATTGCAATTTATCAATAGGTGCAAGGAAACATGGAAGTAATGTCCAAATAAAACAGAATTGAATACAAGTAAAAGGGTCACATGGTTGCAATAGTTAATCAAAACTAACAAGTTCACGTTTAACAATGAAATGTTTGTTCGCAGCAATTCTCATCAAGGAAAGCTAATGGGTGTACAAGTTGCCAACTAAAAAATAGACACCACTGGTAATTCCAACAAGAGAAATTGCATAGTAACTATGATGCAGCTAGGCACGAAGCCTAGTCTTAGCACTCATTTAGCATGTCTTCAAGCATATTGTCATTTCAATATCATTTAATCATGAAACCCTAAAATCACCCGTGCATGTCCAATCAGCAAGCATCCGGAATTTCTAGACCAAACCCCGATTAAAGATACAAGAAAATTTTAATCCGGTGTGGCTGAGGAAGCCTGTGACCTAGACAGGCGGGCGTGTCGTGCGTGCCCTAGCGAGAAGAAGAGCACTCACTTGCTTGGAAGTCCTCGAGGAACCCCATGGCGCCGGAGATCGGTTGCTGTGTCCCAGATCTTTCCGGTTGTCACCCTCTCGCAGCCTCTCCCAGCCACCAGAGAATCGAAATCAAGATGCGAGGGGAAGGGGAGCGACCGGAGGAAGGGGAAGAGGCTCGCCGGCCGGCGCGGCAGGTGGTGGAGGTGCGAATCGGAGATCCCCTTTTTGCAGATAAGCCCCCCACGTGAAAAGGCGATTTCTGTTTCCGCGTGGCGGCATCTTTCTCAGACATGGATCGACACGCCACATGGCCCATTCTTTCGGCCCATTTCGACCGCTTTGCGGCCCACGAGACCAACCTGCGACGCCCGACGGGCATTATTAAACCCTACTAAACCCCCGCACAGCAAATCCCTCCCCCATTCTTTCCTCCTCCCTAAGCCTTACTCCTCCCTCCCTCCCCCTATTCTTTCCTCCTCCCCAAGCAGCTCTGCCAATCGGCCTCCCTTCTCTTCCGCCTCGCTGTCCCCTCCTCGACCCCAGAACCAGAGCAAGGGCTGAACTTGAAGCAAAACCCTCGTCCGTCGCCATGTACCGCGCGGCCGCCAGCCTTGCCTCCAAGGCCAGTTGAGATAGCCGATTCGTGCCTTGCTTTGTGCTGCGCAAGCTTTCTCTCGTGCCGTACTGGGGTTTTGGAGTAATCAATCGTGTCATGTCGCTAAACTGTGCGGTTTGCTTTTTTGGTGCAGGCATGCCGGGAGCAGCGCTCGCCAGGTGAGGAATTCGGTGGCAGGCAGTAGTGATATTTTTAGTGTTGTTTTTGGTTGGCCCGATCATGTGCTTTGGAGCGTCCTGGTCCTGAGCAGATCACTGATCGGTAATATTATCCTGCTGTATTGGGCGTCAAGGGGTTTTCGTCGTTTGATTTAGATTTGATTTATGACTGATTTGTGCTAATGTGCTCCGTTGGTGTGATGCTGGCGAGCAGCTTGGCCTGGAGCAGGAACTATGCTGCTAAGGACATCAAGTTTGGTGTCCAAGCCCGGGCCTTGGTGCTGAGGGGTGTTGAAGAATTGGCTGACGTTGTCAAAGTGACAATGGGCCCTAAGGTATATACCCTTTTTGCATAAGTACTTAAGACTTGTAAATGTATAGTCTGTCTGAGTTTTGTCATTCTGTATCATATCACCGCTTATTGATGCACAAATCACTACTCCCAGTTTTGTTGGACTCTTTTCTATGCCTGATGATGTTATACTAGCTAATGTGGTTGTATGTATTTTGTTCATGTACACTTTACATATGTGAATTACCGAGATCTATGATCTTATCGAGTTCATGTCGTTCTGTATCATATTATTACCAGTTATGATCTTTACATGTAAATATGTCAGCATAATAGCTACGATGATATCACAAGTAGTTAGCTTACCGGGATGATCTTATCTTTGCATTTAGATCTTTTACTTTCCCATGGTAGGGCTTCACTGTATTTTTCATAGTACCGGCCCACAAAACTAACTTTTTTACGGGACAGTGTTAGGGTTGTTGAATTGACATTATTGAGCCCAATTTATTTATGCTACAGGGAAGAACTGTTATTATTGAGCAAAGCTTTGGTGCACCTAAAGTTACAAAGGATGGAGTGACCGTTGCCAAGAGCATTGAATTCAGTGACAGAGTATAGAACGTTGGTGCAAGCCTTGTGAAGTAGGTCGCTAATGCTACCAATGATACAGCTGGGGATGGTATGGCATAGTTCTATTCATATGCCTGTCACGTTTACATTGATTAGGATTTTCTATTGACCTGTCTTCTCAGCACTGCAACATACTATATACTATAGTAATGTTTGAACTAGCAATATATATGCACTAATATGTCAAAGCTCTTTCAGTTCAAGTTCTGCTTGCTGCCTATGTATTTTGATGTATTTGTTAGACTCAGTTATTGACAGATTCATTTTAAGTTTGCATATTGCATCAGTCTTGATTTTGGGCTACTGCATTGTTATGGAAAAGTCTTGTTGTCTTGTTATATGGTTTCCTCCATTCAGATACATTCTGTGAAGACCATTGACTGAGGGTGAAGTATAATATCTTTAATGGGTTTCATTTCAAGTTCGCTTAATGTTCAAACACTTTCAGGTACTACATGTGCCACTGTTCTGACAAAGGCTATATTCACTGAGGGTTGCAAGTCCGTAGCCGCTGGAATGAATGCCATGGATCTGAGCCGTGGTATCTCAATGGCTGTTGATTCTGTTGTCACGAACCTAAAAAACATGGCAAAAATGATCAGTACATCAGAGGAAATAGCACAGGTAATTGTTGGATTGCAACAAGTCAAGGAACTAGAGAGCTTTTTTATATGTTTGTTCTGCTATCCCTAAGACATTTGTGCTAATTTATTTGTTATTATTACTCAAAGGTGGGTACTATATCAGCTAATGGGAAAGGGAAATTGGTGAGCTAATTGCAAAGGCTATGGAGAAGGTTGGTAAAGAGGGAGTCATCACTATTGCGGTAAGTACTCTAAAGAACTTACCATGTCTAATGCATTATACCAACCTCTGTTTATATATTTTTTTAATAATCACACTTAAAAAGTGTTGGGCGAAGCTTAAGACCACCACAGTTTTGGATGTGTTCCCCTTACTGTCAGTCTGCTACATTTTTTTGGGTTCCAAATTTGATTTTACACACTCCCATTGTTTGCGGTCCCATACCCAACTTAGGTTGTTATTAATGTGTTTAATTTGGACATATTTTGCATTTTCTGTACACTTGGATTTTTATCATTAAGAAATTTGTTTTTGAAACTAGCTATGCTGGGAGAAGCATTATGTGTCATTTTTTCTCATCTGGGAATTTGTTTCAGTGTCCTATATTTGTTTATGATCCATGAATTACTTGATAGGATGGCAACACTCTCTACAACGAGCTTGAAGTTGTGGAAGGCATGAAGTTAGACAAAGGTTAAATCTCTCCGTACTTTATTACCGACCTGAAGAACCAGAAATGTGTAAGTATTTCCTTTGCGTTCTTGTTGCTCTAATTGTTTTGTCTTTTATTTATTTTTTATTTGATTGACTAATCCTATCGGTTGTAGGAACTAAATGATCCCTTGATATTGATACACGACAAAAGAGTATCAAATGCGCACTCCGTGGCCAAAGCGATGGAGTTAGCTATGAAGGTATTTGTTTCGATTGTTTATTCTTGCACGCTTATGGCTGATGTTGGTTTGTTGTGACGTCTATTGCAATCTAACACGCAATGGTCTATTTTCTGCTTCATCAGAAGCAAAAACCTCTGCTTATTGTCGCAGAAGATGTAGAAGGTGAAGCGTTGGGTACCCTGATTCTTAACAAGCTCCGTGGAGGTGTTAAGGTTGGCTTTAGCTCTTTTTATGCTTTCTTGCTAGTACTTTGTTCAGCTTTATTATTTAATTACATGAACCACAGGTCTGTGCGGTCAAAGCTCCTGGTTTTGGGGGGAGCAGGAAAACCAACTTGCAGGACCTTGCTATCCTTACTGGGGGAGAAGTATGTCACTGTCACAACTCTATTTCTTTGCCCATGTCATAGTTATCATATATTCAAATCTTTGTTCACTTCTATGTTTTTTTTTTCACATTGAACCAGGTTATAACTGAAGAACTTGGGATGAACCTTGAGAACTTTGAGCCTCAGATGTTTGGCACTTGCAAGAAGGTAAAGGCTGTGTCATTTGATGGCTGTACACTTTTTCTCAGCTCCTATAAGCTGAACTGTTGACAGTATAAAATAAATACCTGTTTATGATCTAGTTAGGTTGATTACACGATTGAACTATAGCCATGAGCTTTTGATACCTCCAGAAGACTTGTGTGGTTCTGTTCATGTCTTAGAGACTTAGAACTATTTCTTTTTTTTATTAAGTGAAGTTTTTGAAATGCAGGTTACAATTTCTAAGGATGACACTGTCATCCTTGATGGAGCTGGGGATAAGAAGGCAATTGAAGAGAGAACTGAGCATGTTCGTTTTATCTACTTAGTTTCCATGAGGCAATTTGGGCATCATGTGACTTTTAGCCATAACTTCTTTTTTTTTTTTTTTTTTTTTTTTTCTTTTACAGCTGAGATCTGCGATTGAGCAAAGCACTTCTGACTATGACAAGGAAAAGCTTCAAGAGCGATTGGCAAAGCTTTCTGGTGGTGTTGCTGTTCTAAAGGTGAAAACTATTATTGATGTTAAATTATGTACATCCATAATGTTGATGTCAATATTAAAATGATCAATTTATAACCTTGGGTTCATAGGGAGTATATCGTCTAAATTGCCAGGGATGTATGTATTATCCAGTAGATATTTTAGTTTGGTATTGGGGCGTAACCCTCTTAGTGACGCGCCATGTCGGAACCCGGGTATGGTGTTAAATGAGCAAGGGTGGGTCGTCACCCCCGTGACGTGCCGTGTCGCGATCTGGACACGGTGTCAAGTGAGCAAGGATCGGGTTGTCGCATCCTTAGTGGCGCGCCACATCGGCATCCGGGTGTGGTGCAAAATGAGCAAGGGTCTTCACACCTACCTCGGCGGGTGCGAAGGGTAAGGAAGCTAGTCGAGCCAACTAGGATCCGTTTAGGTAGCTGGAATGTAGGGTCCCTTATAGGTAAATTAAGAGAGTTAGTGGACACAACAGTTAGGAGACATGTAAATATCTTATGCGTCTTAAGAGACTAAATGGAAGGGGCAGAAGGTGAAGGAGGTGGACAGAACCGACTTCAAGCTCTGGTACACAGGGACAACTTCAAATAAAAATGGAGTAGGAGTTTTGATTGATAAGAGTCTAAAGGATGGTGTGGAGGAGATGAGAAGGCAAGGGCATAGGATCATCTTAGTTAAACTTGTCATTAGTGATATGGTCTTAAACGTAATTAGTGCGTATGCCCCCCCAAGTAGGACATAATGAGAGTGCTAAGCGGCTTTTCTGGGAAGATTTAGATCGCTTGGTTAGAGCTGTCCCTAGTAGCGAGAAGCTCTTTATAGGAGGTGGTCTTAATGGCCATGTATGTACATCAAGTGCAGGTTTTGAGGCGGTTCATGGGGGTTTCGGATATGGTAGTAGGAACCAGGAGGGAGATGAAGTCTTAGACTTCGCCATAGCTTTTGATCTGATGATAGCTAACACTTTCTTCCGTAAGAGACAGTCCCATTTAGTGACCTTTAGAAGCGGCCAGTACTCTAGTCAAATCGACTTTGTCCTTACAAGAAGCGATAAACGAACACAAGCTGGTGGTGGCTGACTTTCGCTTTCTGGTGCAAGCTCGTGGGAACAAACAAGCTAAGGCTGCTAGAACGAAGTGGTGGAAATTAGAAGGGGAGGCATCAAAGGTCTTTAAGAAAAAGGTCATTGAAAAGGACCCTTGGAATGATGAAGGCGATGCAAACAACATGTGGGAGAAGATGGCAATATGCGTTCGAAAGGTTGCTTCAGAGGTGCTTGGAGTGACCAAAGAGAGCGGATGCGACTCGAAAAACACTTGGTGGTGGAATAAAGATGTATAAAAGGCTATTAAGGAAAAGGAGTGCTATAAGCGCTTGTATCATAACAGATATGCAAACAACGTAGAGAAGTACAAGGTGGCAAAGAAGACCACAAAACGAGCGGTGAGTGAGGCAAAGGGGCGGGCCTATGAGGACCTTTATCGACGTTTGAGTACGAAGGAAGGAGAGAAGGACATTTATAGGATGGCTAGGGCTCGCGATAGGAAGACAAGGGACTTCAACCAAGTCAAGTGCATAAAGGATGAGAGGGAGCAGCTCTTGGTGAAGAAGGATGAGATCAGACATAGATGGCAAGAGTATTTTGATAAATTGTTCAATGGTGAGAACGAGAACACCACCGTTCAGCTGGACGACTCGTTTGATGACACTAACATGCGCTTTGTGCGGAGGATTCAAGAATCGGAGGTTAGAGAAGCCTTGAAAATGATGAAAGGGGGCAAAGCGATAGGCCCTGATGGTGTGGAGATGTCTCGGGGATATAGCTATAGTATGGCTAACCAAGATGTTCAACAATATCTTTCGATCGAACAAGATGCCTAAGGAGTGGAGAAGAAGCATATTGGTACCAATCTACAAGAATAAGAGATATGTAAAGTTGTACTAATTATCGGGGAATTATGTTGATGAGCCACACTATGAAGTTATGGGAGAGTTATCGAGCGCGCGCTGCGAGGAACGATGCAGATATCAACAAACCAATTTGGTTTCATGCCCGGAAGGTCAACCACATAAGCAATCTTCTTAATAAGACAAGTTATGGAGCGGTTTAGAGAGCAGAAGAAGGACCTCCACTTGGTTTTCATTGACTTGGAGAAGGCTAATGACAAGATACCAAGAAATGTTATGTGATGGTCTTTGGACAAACATAAAGTCCCATCAAAGTACGTGACCCTTATCAAGGACATGTACAACAATGTTGTGACTAGTGTTCAAACAAACGATGGTAACACAGATTACTTTCCGATTAAAATTGGACTTCATCAAGGGCTAGCCTTAAGCCCGTATCTCTTTGCCTTGGTAATGGATGAGGTTACCAGGAACAAACAAGGGGAGATATCCCTTGGTGTATGTTGTTCGCTGATGATGTAGTGTTAGTGGACGAAAGCCATGCGGGAGTAAATAGGAAACTAGAGTTATGGCGGCAGACCCTTAAGTCTAAAGGTTTTAGATTGAGCAGAACTAAAACCGAATACATGTGATGCGAGTTTGGTGGAGTTGTACAGGAGGAGGGAGATGTGAGTTTGGAAGGTCAAGTAGTGCCTAAAAAGGATACCTTTCGTTATCTGGGATCGATGCTACAGAGGGATGGAGATATTGATGCGGACGTTAGCCATAGAATCAAAGCAGGGTGGATCAAGTGGCGACAAGCTTCTGGCATTCTCTGTGACAAGAGGGTACCACAAAAGCTAAAAGGTAAGTTCTATAGAACGGCGATTAGACCGGCTATGTTGTATGGAGCAGAATGTTGGTCTACAAAGATTCGATATGTTCAACAACTGAGTGTTGCAGAAATGTGTATGTTGCGATGGATTTGTGATCACACAAGAATGGACCGAGTTCGGAACGGTGATATACGTGATCGCCTAGAGGTAGGATCAATTGAAGAAAAGCTTGTACAACATCGGTTGAGGTGGTTTGGCCATGTCCAAAGGAGACGTCCAGAGGCACCAGTGCATTGTGGAGTCCTAAGCTAAGCTAATAATATGAGGAGAGGTAGAGGAAGACCGAAATTGACATGGGGAGGCAATAAAAAGATATTTGAAGGCTTGGGATATACCTAGAGATCTATATTTGAATATGAGTACTTGGAAAGCAGCTATTGAAGTGTCTGAACCGTGACTTGGGGCTTTTGGTGGGTTTCAACTCTAGCCTACCCCAACTTGCTTAGGACTGAAAGGCTATGTTGTTGTTGTTGTTGTTGTATTGTAGTGTTAATGGCATTTTAGCATTATATATTGATTTTGGTGACTTCCCTGAATTGCTGTTGTGAACATTCTTTATTACAATCTTTCCTTTTAGATTGGTGGAGCAAGTGAAGTGGAAGTTAGTGAGAAGAAGGATAGAGTGACGGATGTACTAAATGCAACCAAAGCTGCAGTGGAGGAGGGTATTGTGCTAGGTACCGTGCTGATGCTCTGCTGTTGAGTTCTCTCTGGTTTAAGCATGTGTCAGTATATCACCATGGCTGAAAAATCTTATTTGTTTATGATACACATAGGTGGGGGTGTTGCTCTTCTCTATGCTTCAAAAGACCTGGATACATTGGAGACTGCAAACTTTGTCCAAAAGATTGGTGTCCAAATCATTCAAAATGCTTTGAAGGTTTGAAGAAATTGTTTCTGTTTTTCTTTTGAGGTTTTCCTCTCATGTTCATGTCATCTGATGATTGGAGGATTTTGCAGACCCCGGTGCATACTATTGCTTCAAATGCTGGGGTAGAAGGGGCTGTTATTGTTGGCAAGCTTTTGGAACAGGAGAACACTGATCTAGGCTATGATGCAGCTAAAGGTAGGGTGCAAAGTTGACAATATTGCCCATCGGGGGCTTAGGAACTAAGTTTGTGTTATGTTTCTAACAATTATGCAAATTGGTATTCCAACCCAGGCGAGTATGTGGATATGGTGAAGGCTGGTATCATCGACCCGCTTAAAGTGATTAGAACAGCCCTATTGGATGCTGCAAGGTCCTCTCTCTACTTTTCATTGATAGTCAAGCTGCATTGAAGTAGCTAGCTTGAGCTTCTTCAACCTGTTCGCTTGGTCGTATTTTGCTTGTAAGTCATGGCTTATCAGCCAACGAACAATATTTTTCTCTCACACCAAACCAGCCAACGGTACTTTCAGCCATGGCTTATAAGCCAAACCAGCCCAAACTCAGCTCTTGTATCTTTGACTGTTGAGAATTTGCTGCAATTTTTTGATTGTTGCATACACGTTCAAGCAGCTCCTCGAATCTTGAGCTTAGTCTATTTATATATATTTTCCTCCTGTTATGTCCATGGGACCATGACTCATTTTCCCCTTCTGTTTTCATATTGCAGTGTATCATCTCTTTTGACTACCACAGAATCTGTTATTGTTGAGATCCCCAAGGAAGAGAGTAGTGCATCAGCAATGGGCAGCATGAATGGGATGGAATACTGACGAGCTTTCTCAGCTCATGCCAAAGCAATGTGATTATATGAAACATTAGTTTAGATTATCTATCTAATGAGGAAGTTGTCCGTATTTTGGTTCTGCTGCGGGAGGATTGCTAACTAGAAATAGAGGTAACGCTGGAAATCGGGATGTGAACGAAACCCTTTTTATACAAGCACTGGAAGTTTTTTTGGGGGCTGAAATTGCAGCTGTTCCGCAACTGATATCTCGTTTACACCTGTTGCTTGTTTTCCTGGCACGACAATTACTTCAATTGGGTTAGAATTTCAGATGCGGCACCGGTTGAAATATTGAATATTACATGTGGATTTGATTCAGTGAGATCCGACTTGAGTAATGTATATGCAATGAATTAGTTCAGTCTTGCTATGCGTGTGAATTAGAGTTTTCTCCTGGAAACTGTGTTGCGGCATATCTCAAGAATTCGTAGTGCAAGTCCCACTTTCAACACATAACGTAGGATGGATTTGTATCTGAGGCCTTTATTTTGAATAAAGAAACCCAGGAATTCGGAGAGCAAACGCTCTTTGGCTCCTTCCAATTTCCAAATACAGGAATTCTATCAATGAGATGACAAAGAGGGTCTAAATCTCAGGGTTCACTTTGCAAGTTTCTCAAGAGGGTCTAGAAAACGCCACCTGTGACCTGTCCTTTTACCCGCTGCTGTTGCTGGGATTTGCAAGGTCAGCGACTTGCCATGGCGGAGAAGGCGACGCCGCCGCAGCTCAAGCTCTTCAACTCGATGACGAGGAAGGAGCCCTTCCAGCCGGCCGTCGATGGCTGCTTCAATTGGGCCCGGACGTCTCTCTCTCTCACTCTCTTTCTGTATATTATATAGTATAACGCATACGTGTATATCTATCTATGTATCTTTATCTACATCCATCGCTCGGTACATTAACATGATGCATGTATGCAAGCATATGTCGTCAGTGACAGAGCCACAAGCAGACACGGAAACGGCGCGCACGATGCATTTGCATTGCATGCACCACCAGTTTCGTCGTCGTCGTCGTTTCTACCAAACCGGGCACGGCCGGACAGAGCTGTGGATCACTGGATCTCATATCCTCGCTCCTCCATCGTTATGTTCGGTTCTGTTGACCGTATATATACTACTGTATATAATACGGTACCGGCGGCGGCGATAGACTTTTTTTGTGCCTGCTTACGTACCACTCCTACACGGCAATACGTCGTACGTACGTACGTACAGCAGGAGAGGCAGCTAGCAGCTACCGCCCGGCTGGCCTGGCATGTGGTGAAGGTGGGAATTGGGGTGGGGAGCTAGGGTATCAATCATTGGGAGTTGACACCAAATTGTCATGCCTGACGTATGATTGGGATCACGTGTTCATGAACCAACTGAAATCCGCTCAACTCGTACGCCGGGCGAAATGACAGATGATCCCCTGGTTTGGTTGTGAAGATCATGATCCAATTCCAATTCCAACAGCATGTACGTCTGCGGCGTCACGCCCTACGATTTCTGCCACATCGGCAACGCCCGCGTCTATGTCGTCTTCGACGTGCTCTACAGGTAGCTCTCGGCTCCATCCTGGAGACAAAGCCACGTTCTGTTTCAGTTGGGTGCTGCGGTGCAGATCACCTTTGGATCGGAATTTCGATTTGCTTAACTAATGATTGTTCGAGAACTTAAGACGGGAAAATAAGCATAATTACAATTATTATTACCACAAACCAAACACTCACCCGCCCCACGCACACCCCCAAAATGCGATTTTAGTTTTGCTAACCAAAGCTCTCAAACTTTTTTAAGGCATAACCTGAGAAACTTTCATTGAGTTTACAGAAAAATACACTAACATATGACATCAGTTTGATTTCACTGAATCCACCAATAAATATGTATATTTACTTGGTATCACAGATGTTAATATAATTTTATAATCCTTGTAAAATACACTACCCTAGATTTTGACATCACTGTCGGTTAAAAAAAACCCTTTACTACCGGATTTTGAACCGACAGTGGCATACCGGTAGTGATGCGGGTTGACATCACTGCCGGTTCCTAAAAACCGACACTGATCTACAGGCAACAGTGTCAATTTCTGGCTCCACCCGGCAATGTCCAGTTGAACAACACTGCCGGTTTGTAGACTCAACCAACAGTGATGTTTACTTCAAGAGTGTCGGTTCTTGGCTCAAGCCAGCAGTGTTGAGCAAGCCTACACTGTCGGCTTGTGTCTCAAGTCGGCAGTGTTGAGTAAGCCATCACTGTCGATTCATGGATCAAGCCGGCTGTGTTGGTCGAGCCATCGCTGTCGGCTAGTAGCTCAAACCGACAGTGTTGTCTTCAGCAACATTGCCGATTTAGATTTCAAGCCGACAGTGATGGCTCAACCAACACTGTCGGCTCGTACCATGAACCAGTAGTGCTCTCTTTACCATCACTACTGGTTTTGTGCTAATCGGCAGTGATCTCCTTTTCGTATTTTACTGTTTTATAATTTATTTATTTTATTTTATTTTATTTTATTGGTGGAATCAGGTTTCGCTTTATATTCGCTACGTAGACGACGATCATTCCTTCAATAATTAACATTACAAATGTTACGGTTACGGTTCAAATGTACTTATGAAGCTCTCGATCTCTTGAAATAAAAAATAAATTACAATAGTCTAGCGAGCCGCTCTGACCCGTACTACGCCTTTACTTCACGGATTGTGCAATGGAGAATGTTCCTTTTTTTTCTAAGCACTCCGATACGATGAAGGTTGCTAGTTCCGATCACAGTGCTATGACCTCCATTTCTAACAGCCTATTGTGTTTACATTTCTTGCGCTGACATTAAAAAAACCGGTTTCGAAAGGCGGAATGTTAGAAAAATAAGTAGATCGTTTTGTTGAATTAATAGATATAAATGAAATGGGGATTATACACACCAAAGCATCTGTTGCCTCCGATTTTACGCTGAGGTAGCGAAGTATTGCCCACATTACGTAAAACCCGCATTCATTGTTTCCCGCCGGCTAGTCTAGGGTCTCCAATTGCATTGGTGCAACCTGGAATGGGACCTTCGTCCCATCGACCATTCTTGCTCTGGACACTGTGCCACATTATAAAGTGTGAAAAATGGGCAACATTAGAATATGCTATGTGCGATTAGAAAATAATATGTTATTAGGTTCGCTTACACATTAAGCACTTCGACTAGGGGATCGAGCAAAGAAAGTGGCTTTTTCTTCGAGTCCGACGCCTTGATATGATTTCTTTTAATATCGACAACAATCAAGACGAAATGGTTGCTGCAATCACAAAACCCTAGTTAACGAATAATAGTAACTATAAAAAACAAGCATAAAAATAAGAGCAGAGAACACTTACTCTCCGTCAGATCTTCGACTTTATTTCCATGCATGCCTCCGCATGTTCTCTCATTGACTAGCTCGGGGTCTAGGAAAGGCATATGAGCGTACTTTGTTTTGAAGCAATGTTTTGCTACACACCTGCATAATTCATGGGGAATGCGCAGTCGTTGACTATTTGTATATCGAGAGAGTAGTTAATTATAATATCGTACGAGTATGGTACTTACATAGTCCACAACATCAACATTTGTGTATCGAGATCACGTCTCTGGAATAGCTGAAACAAGTAATCCCAATCGACAAAGTGCTTCTCTTCATTAGGATAATGGAAAACATGCGATGGGCGGATAATATATTCGAAACCCGCCTGCCCTATCTCAAGTGCTTAGGCCATATAATAATCATACAAGTCACGCATATATATTGTCAAATTTTATACTCCTCATCCACCAAGAAATTGCCTCTTTGAAATTGCATTGCCGATCTTGCCGTCTCATATAGTGAATCATAATAGATGTTTGCGACATCATCCCTGGTTAATCCGGGTTTGTCTTTGACAATCTTGTTTATCTTCCTTTGATCTTCATGGTGTATTTCTTTGACTCTTAATTGATAGTGCTTACTCTCTGTTTGCCTATTGAATTCGGACTGCACCCTCCACTTAGGCAGTGAGGCAAATAGATTCCAGTATCTAACTTTGTCTTCCTTGGAGGCTATTTCTAGCTTTTGTTGGTTCATCAAGTTTGTAACGCTGCCACTCATTGTCCTTTTCTTTTTTTGTTGGTCCACTTTGGGAGCATTAGCGATCAAATCCGAGGACCTTTTCTGCGACTGCAAGGATGCCTTAGATCTTGTTTTGGGCTGTTGTGGAGGAGGACGAGAATTACATTTTCTCGGGGGTGATGAAGAGGGAGGAGGAGAAGGAGGAGTCTTCTCTTTTGTTGGGGCTGATGAAGATGGAGGACGAGAAGGAAGAGAAGACTTACTGCTTCTCTGGGTGAGGCAGGAGGAGAAGGTAGTTCTCTCTTTGTTGGGAGATGGTGAGTGATCATCTCTGGGCGAAGATGGGAGGATCGAGAAATTGGTGATCAAGGAAGAGAAGAAGACTTCTATCTCCTTGCTTTATCTTCCCTGGGGGTGATCAATGTGCATCTTGTTATACTTCTTATCAAATATAGTATCATTGGCGACGTGAAACCTCATGGAAGGGGCGCCATTAATGGTCCTCCTCTCTTTGTTGGGAGATGGTGAGTGATCATCTCGGGCGCCCTCAGCGAACACCGTTCATCATCGCCCTCATCATCATCCGGAAGAACTTCCTGTCGGTTGGTGATCAAGCTTCTTATGAGAGCGCTTCTAGAAAAGAAGTGCAACTTGTTGGTACGCAGTATCATATTAATCCTATTAAGCCAGCGCCGGGTGTTACATCCTCACCCCCTAGGAGACCGACGTCCTCATCGGTCAACCCCGCGTTGCTTATCTTCCCGTCCCATGTGTCAGATGCGGGGGTAATCAATGTGCATCTTGTTATACTTCTTATCAAATATAGTATCATTCAGAACGACGCCTCCTCGGGCATACCTCGTTGGAATTGGGCGACACCATTAATGGTCCCGTCCTCCCTCATGCGCCCCGTTAGGCTTGGCCGC